GACAGAAACTTTCAAATAGGCTGGTGATGAGATCACATGTCTGGAACATGCAAGCAAAGTTCCTGGTGCAAGCTGAAAAGATGAAAGACATCTGTCCTCCCCAATCAAGGCCAAGTGTCCTTTCCACTGCGATTGCAGGGATGATGCTCTCTTGTGGTGATCATGGATTCATCCTGGACATGAGAAGCCTCTTCCTTATGAAGATGGTGTCAAACCTCGTATGCTGCTAAAAAAAGTGATTTGGAATTTTTCAGCTTCTCGTTGAATTACACCCTGCTTTTTTCAGATCACTGCACCAGCCTCTTAGGGTGCTCCCAAAATGTTTGTGGTCATTAGGTGGACATGAGACACAAGAACGTGTGAGACACAAGTTCACTGCTGAAATACACTTTTTTACATGGTATAACTATTGGCTTTGATGTTCTTCCTCTCTTTCACCCCTTCACATCTGCCACCAGCATTGCTGGCTGACATGAGTGGTTTACGGCTTTCTCTCCGCCTTCCCCCGTTACTGCCCTTAGCTGTCCACCGGCACATGCTTCCCCCCCACGGCCACAGCGGAGCCTGGCACCCTGCTCACGCCGTGGGACACGCTTCTACCGCGACTGCTTCCGCAGGGCACCGTCCCCGGCTGCCCGCTACCCGGCTGCCACCCGCCCCGGCTGCCTCCTATCCCGAGTCCGGAGTCTGCCAGAGCCGTCCCTCTGGTGCCCTCCAGCGTCTTCTTCCCGAAACGACTCAGCAGAGCAAAGCCCTGCTCGGGTGGTGCTCCACTGGGAACGCGTGAGGGACAGGCGCCGAGTTTAAGTTCGAATATAATTCACTGAGAGAACAGCGTGTCCTTGACTAAAGGCAAAAAGTCAACCTCGGCTGAGAAAAACAAGCTTTGTTGCGACCAGAAAAGCAGCACGGCGTTCATATCCGAGTAGCTATTCAGGGCGCTGCCTAACCAAGAATGTTCCCTGTAGAACCCTTTGCACCGTAGTTAAAAGGTGGGATTACCGAACACAGAATGGAAAGTCATGATTTATTCTGGTGCCAGTTTGGTACAGACCACAATGCTTTTACTCTGAATTCTTCTCTTTGGGATAGACTTAATTTACTTCCTGGTAGCTGGTGCAATGATGTGTTTTGGTTTCAGTCTGAGAACGATGCTGATAACACACCAGTGTTTTAGCTGTTGCTCAGCAGAGTTTATCCTAAGTCAAGGACTTTTCAGTCTCTCATGCTCTGCCATTGAGGAGGGGCACAAGAAGCCAGGAGGAAGCAGAGACAGGACACCTGAACCAAAGTAGCCAAAGGGGTATTCCGTACCACAGCACATCATGCCCAGTATATAAACTGGGGAAGTTACCTGGAAGGGCAGGTCGCTGCTCCGGCTCTGCTGGGTATCTGTGTGTGGTGAGCAACTGTATTGTACATCACTTGTGTTTTCTGAATTTTATTCCTCCTTCTCGCTCTTTTTTTTTTTAATCTGTTATTATTATTGTTACTTTTATTTCTATCATTATTATATTTTACTTAATTTCGATTATTAAATTATTCTTACATCAACCCACAGGTTTTACCTTCTTACCCTCCAGGGATTAAGGTAGTGAGTGAGTTGCTGTGTGGTACTTAGTTGCCGGCTGGGGTTAAACCATGACATTTGGGTAAGTAACTTCAACAGATTCACTGTTTGGCTCACAATAATCCCATACATAAATAACACAAAAATAACATAGATTGTACTTGTGGTGAATCACAGAAGGGCTGAGGTCATCAGGGCCCTCTAGGACGTCTCATACAAACCCCGCGCTCAAACACTGCCACCTAGAGCCGGTTGCCCAGACCCATGTCCAGATGGGGTTTGAATATCTCCGAGGATCGAGTCACTTTATTAATCTTTAGATTAGCTTTATTACCCATTAGTGTATTTGCTAGTGGTGATTTCTGTGGTTGCATACTTGCTAGGGGTGATTTCTGTGGTATTTGTGGTAATCTATAATAAGGAAGTTTAGAGGATAACGCCTCTGTGTCCTGTGTATTACAGGATCCTAGGAACCCATGGTCATTATCCATGATTTCTGCACAGCTTCAGGTTGTGACATTTGCAAATGCCAAATCACCCTCTGAACCAAGCCCTTGGTGTCAAAACACAGGGAATGCTTTTTGACACCTCAGACCTCATCTATGGCACAACTTAATTACTCTTCAGAATTCAGACTTTTTTCCTTGAAATGTAGATGTTTTTATTTCCAGTACTGTTACTCATACAATCCAAAATAAAACATGTTCAATTGCTCATCAGACATCTGATTTGACATAATTTCTTGTTAGGCATTTTGAATACAACAAATGACTGTGAAATTCATCATTAAAAAGCAAATTGTTTTCCTCGTACTAAAATGAAAAAGATAAAAGTGGCTCCAGTGTCACACGGTGTAGCTTATTGTGAAGGTGGTTTGACAGCCTGGCTGCCACAAACATTCCAGTTGGCTGATATGAAAACAAAGATCAGCACGGGGCTCAGAAAACAAAGCATATTTCAGCTGCAACCAGGCGTTTGTCAGGAAGAGAGTCTCGCAGTTTCCAACTGATTTTACATTAAGAATAATTTGTTTGCAGTGTGTGTCAACAGCTTTATTTAAAGCCTACAATGAAAAATACCAGCATGCTGTTATTCCTCCCAATGGCAACTGCTGCACTGCAGATTTTAACTTTTAAGAAGTAACATTCTCACATTACACTTACAGACATTTTTTTCTGTTGAAATATGTTCCCTTGTGTTATCACAGTCCATCCTTAAAGTGTATAACTAGAAAACCTATCTGTATAAGCAATATGTCTAATGCTTACCAGCCAGGGAAATGCTTTATACAAATAAGTTTTATTTTTAACTTTTCCCATTGACAAAAAAACCTGCCAAGGCAGCAACTAGTGTAACATCCAGTGTATCTAAATGTGTGTGTTCCCATTCTTACAAACAGAAATCGACTATGTATTCCTCAGAAGACTACTAACTGCCTATATTTTTATTGAAAATGTAGTTTTCATTGAGGCAGCAACAAACTCATACTAGTCTTTTGCATGGCAAAACTCATCTGGCATTAACTGAATCTCTCACACAAGCTATATACAATTGCATTTATTTTCCTTTATTCTTTAGGGAACTTCTGGGAACAGAGCTCTGAGCAATGTCACCCTTGCAAATGAGCACCAGCAACTCATTTTTCAACTCCCTTTTTCCCAGCAGGCAGTCCAGAATGTCCCCTTTTCCTTATTGTGGCCACCAATGATGAGATTTTTGGCATTCATTCACAGATGAGCCTTGATATACTGTTCACATCTGTGCATCTTCTTTGGTGCCCTGTAAGTCAATCAGTTATGGGCAAGAAAATAAAGGAACAAGAGATCTTCCTCTTGCATTGACAAGTCAACGTATAAATCTGTGCATTACAATGTTTTTGATTACTTACACAAAGTAGGTCTTTAACAAAAGGGTAAGATTTATTGCAGAAGGGTCAAGAGACTATAGTAGGACTATTGGTTTCAATTGCATTCTCCAAGCAGGTGGATTCAGACTTCAAAAAAGGTCTCCCAGTTTGGTAAGCCCAGGTTAAAACAGATTGAAAATTCAATTCAACTGAGAATTTAACTTAAAGGCAATTTAAAATTGAGCCTTGCTTTTCATAAGAAAGGCTGGATCATCTCAGTTATGGAACGTAAGCAAAGCTGCTTATGGAAAGGTATGTGTTGCAGTGTAGAAGTAGGTGCTTCTTTCCAGCACATACTTCTCAAACATCCTTGAGAACTCGGAACAAAATCTTAAGTCTACTGACTGTTCTAAGGGGCTCCATCTTCCCCTTTCTGCTATCTGGAGCACTCTATCATGTGTGTTGCACAGAATTCCTTGGATCATACATAGGATTTTACTGAGCATCTATCACCAAGGAAATAATACTTAGAGGGAAATCTGATCTCAAAAAAATTTCATATGCCTGCATGGTAAGTGGGTAGTTGAATGGTGTTATTGGGGATCAATCTAATGCCTTGACATTGGCTTTCATTAGATGTTTGTCTATTGATGGATTTGGTTCCTGTATTTTAATTTTCCAAACATAAACCCATGAGAGCATATAGAAGTCCCACTGAATTCAAGAAGGTATGCAAGCTCATACAACTATTTGTGTGACTGTGGGGTTTGCAACCAGAATTACCAAATCTAGGTGCTACTAAGGAAAATCTATTCCTAAATCCAGCAGAGTTAAAACTGTAAGATCAACTAATCTAGGTTTAGGATAATATAAACCATAGCCTTATTCATTTCAGTCATTCATCATGTATTTTTTCCCACAAGACCACATAGAGCACTTTTCAACACCTCATAGCTTTGGTTGAAGCTAATTTTGTCCTCTTCCTTCTCTGACCAGCTAGAAGTTAGCACTTAAACTTACTGGATTCTTCACTGATCCACAGATGATTTTGTGGGTTGTCGTGGTTTAACCCCAGCCAGACAGCTTGTCCACCCACTTCCCCCCCCCCCCTTCTTGCCCTCCCCCTACTCCTGGAGAGACGGAGAGGAGAAAACCTAGGACAGGGTTAACTGCAAGAAGAGATTAAATGATTGTAACTTCATCTTGATTAAGAGCTATGCACAACATCTTCCTTTCAGTAACTTTCCAACAGGAAGTTCCTCCCTCACAACCTTGTAACACACTCTCCCGTACACCTACACAAGCATGAATAAACAACAAAACAAAACATTATCAAATGCTATCACTCACAGACTGAAGAAAGTTTATTTTCAGATCTGAATTCCCTGCTGACTATAAAATACATGGACAGAAGACAACAGCATATCTATCTATCTGTCTATCTACCTATCTATCTATCTACCTATCTAGCTACCATTAGTATAGCGTTAAAGAAGATCCCTGTAGTGTTTTGACAATCTGCATCTTGTACAGTTGGCAGCCCTTTACTATACTTGATATTACCATATCCAGAACTTCCTAAACTGCATTTCAAAATTTATTTTTGGGATATACAATATTTGAAGTTCAACTGAGATGTTGTTATTAAAACACCTGGAGATTGCAAATACCGTACTGGACAATAAAACACAACACACAAACCATTTTTCACAGTTCTAACAAAACAAGATTGTACATAAAAATGTCACAAATAGCTGAATACATTGGTATGATCAAAATAATACTAAGTCCAGCTAATATTGTCACATATTGAGGTCCAAATCCTGGCTCAACGTGCAGCTGAAGCCTAAACAGATGTTTAGAGAAAATAATATAAAGTCACCCTAAAGTGCTGTACTGATAACAATACCATTTATTAACCTACCTACAATTTTTGGCCTGAAGTGTGTGCCTAATTTCTGCTATAGAAAGAACACATAGCCAGTGTACTTGGCTCCTATCCTAGGACAAGTCTTTATGGATTTGTCACGGCCAAGGGCAGTAGGGGCTGTAGAGCAGCTTTCCTTCTGGGTATGACAGTTTTGGCAAGGCATCTGTATCTACTGTTCTGCCAGAATTTGGCCAAGAGTTCGAAATCCTGTACACCTTATTCAGTAGTCCCACTGAAGTCAATGGAACTTTTTTCTGAGTGAGATGAGAAGGATTTGGCCCCCAGTGCTTTTAACCCTTTAAGTAGTAAGAGAGTAGTTTCATTGCACTTAGCCCATCACTCACAAATAACTTTCTACTCAGAAACAGAAGATGGTTGTTGATGTATAGGAAGTGTTGGCTCACAAATAAGAGAGTATGCAGCAATGTTTGACTACTCATATAATTTTGGAACTGAATTCCTAAAGGGAAAAAGAGACACTTGTTTATGACAGATTCATCCAAGGATATTTGAGGCCAAAATAATTGTTTCTTCAGTTCCTAAATACCATCTCATGGGTACCTTGAAACACTAAATAGCTGGAGTATGTATACAGTTATAATTGGATATGTGTATAGGTGTCTAGATTGGACTGACTGGATAAGCTACTTCATGTAACAGTATTAAAATTTCAAAAAAGGAAAAAAGGAGCAGATGGATTTTTTAAAGAGTTTCCTAAATATTTTTATATGGAACACATGGGCACAGCTTTGGGAAAAGAGAAATTTTGTTCTCATCCACAGGAAGCTTTTGGTGACTGGAATGGGCAAGAACAGCATTTTCATATTAAACCCAAAGTAATCTTACTCTGTTACATAATCCCATGTTTTGTTCTGTGATTGTGGGTTTGAATTATTATTCATTTGAATTCAATGGGATAAAGGATAACTTTATGCTAATTAAATTAAACAAAACTATACGACATTGCTACTCTGACCAAAAGTCATTGAGTTGCATTATATTGTAATAATATGCAGTACTCAAAAGCAGAATGTAGGATTTAAAATTGTGTAGTCAGGATGCAGATATTAACACTTAGTTAGAACTGGAAAACAGGACCATGTACCATGGAGTTTAATCTCAGTAACTGAGTGAATTACTTCATCTCTAATGCTGTGTCATGCTAATGCTGATGCTCAATATGTAGCTGCGACAAAGCTACAGAGCAGAGCATGAGTCCTGAAGATGCTTGCCTCAACATCTGTGTTTACAGACAATTTTATAGCATTCCCCTTTTGCATATGAGATAAAAATTTGTCTGCCTTATAAATATTGCTAAAAGCATGCCTTCTCATTGACATCAGGGCCTGGGGGTGTCAATGATAATATGATGAAACTGCGTGTGAAGCCTCTATGAATATGTTAAGGACAGTGAACTTCTACCTTTTTACATATATTAAATCATTACAGTTCCTTGTATTGCTTCTTTCCTTCCCAAATAGAAGGATGTAGACATTTTGTGCTGACAGCAGTCCTTCGGTATCAGATTCTCAGGGGACATTACAGACTCCATATCTCTTCTGCTAAGGGAATAGGATTAGGTTTCATGCTTAATTCCCCCACTACATGCTGAATTTAGGAAGAAAAGTTCTTGAAAATAATCTAAATTGAGCAAAGACTTCTCTGTACTCCCTGGGAGAACTTCACAGACTTCAATAGGCACACCATTAGTCTAGCCTTTGGATAAATGTGAATAAAACCTCCATAAATAGGACTGAAAGCTTCAAAAGGAGGTACATACTGGTATGCTTAGGAGGAGATTACTTTGGGTGATGTAGTGCCTACACCTGGTAAGAAAGGTGTTAAGGTATCTCTTTGTTCCTATTAAGGAAAGTCTATTTAACTTCATCCAGTTTTCACATGATTTGCTGTTTCCCTCACATATCCTATCCTTAAAGGCAAATCCTGCAGTCCTTATTCCATCTTTGTTCCTCATTCCACTGTTATTTGCCAGTATAATACTGGGTGACAGAGAGGCTTTGTGCATCTGCTCCAAGCTCAGACACCATTAGCCCTTGGTGCCTACTGGTATGAACTCAGCTTCCAAGTTTTGCCTCTGCTGTGACAGCTCCTAGATCCTTGCATTGGTGAGGGCCTTCCCGGAGAAGAAGAAAAGCCACAGGTACATTCCTACATAGATGAGAAGAGTAGGAACAGGAGAAGACAGACTGAAGACATACTGACTTGCCTTCTACCTGTAATGACAGGAATGTCTGCCTGGCATGAGGAGGAGATGATGTTCCTTGATGTACACATGGAGGTCAAGAGAGCAGTCTGGCACCCAAGACAGCCCTTGGGGCTGGCCCATAGCACTTTCATGAACTAAGATGGATTTTGTTGGATTCGGATCCTGAAAGTCATGACACAGCATTAGATATGAGAATTAAAGGGTTTCATGGCAGAATCTCATGGGATCTAACTTCTGAAGGAGAAAATGTTTTGAGAAATTTCTTGTGAATACCACTGGCCCGGAAGGAAAGTATGCACATGCCATATGCTATTTTTTTTCCTTCCATTTGTCAAAATAGAATATGTTTAGAAAAGAACAAACCTGATCAATTTTATGAAGACATGGCACATTTCTGATGTATGTTGAGATTTATTACTAGCAATATTTGATTTCCATTTGGGGTTCTGCAAGCATTGCAAACTCAGTATTTAAAAAGCCTCTCAACAATTCTCTAAAGCAAGTTTATCTCTATTTTTCAGGTGAGGAAACCAAGGCACAACAAAATGAAATGATTTGCCACAGATAGTACACTAAGTCAGTGGTAAAGTCAGGAAGAGAATGAAAGTCTGCATTTATGGGATTATGGATTAACTCTCTCTTCCTGCTAAGAAATTAATCTTAACCCTGATATGCTGTTTCATACCACCTGCATGACCATGAAAATTTGTCAATTTGCACTGTTAAAACTTTTGCAAAGCCAATTATTTTTTCCCATGTAAGCACAAAAATGCTACTTAAAGGGTTAATCATACTGCTGTGCTGGTAAACATTTTTACATATTGCTGGTTAGACCCGTATTTAAATACTGACTGGGACAGAAGAGACTGAGCTGGCCCTGGACTCCCTCGTCTTGGTGCTGGGCATGGATATGGTACAACAGGATACACCCACAGTGGCCTCAGGCAGCTCATCTTCCTCTGTCCATTCATTGAGATCTGGGTTATAGCACTGAATGCACTTCTTATATTTTTTTTCAATTTCATTCCAGCCACCCACTAAGTAAATTTTCCCGTTAAGGATGGAGGCACCAGCTGTACTAACTCCAGTTTGAAGTGGCGCCACGTAACTCCACTGCCCTGTGTAAGGACTGTAACACTCCACAGGGAGTACATCGACCCTTTCAGCTCGCCCCCCTAGCTGAGACCCACCCATAACATAGACCCTCTCTAGAAGGGACACTGCGCAGTGCCACCCCCTTGGGGTGCTGAGGCTGGACTTATCCTGCCAGCTATCTTTACTGGGGTCATACATGCACACCGAGCGAGAGTAAGCATTATTAATGTAACCTCCTGTGACCAGGATCCGACCATCCACCACTGCACTGGCATGGCAGCACCTGGGCACCTCCAGGGGTGCCTTCATCTGCCACTGGTTGGTTGCAGGCACGTAGCACTCAATCGAGGAGAGGCACCCCTCAGAGTTGCGGCCACCTACTGCATAAAGGAGGCCACTGAACACATTCAGGCTAAAGTGGGTGCGCCGCTGATTCATGTTTGCCAGGTGAATCCAGGTGTTGAAACGAGGGTCATATCTGAAAGCATTAAAAAAAGAGGGTAACTGTCTCTTACACATGCTCTGCTAAATTCTCCAGTCCTGTCTCAGCCCCAGTACTGCTGCAAAAGCAAAGTTGTTAAATTGAATTTAGTTATTCAACCTATTAGAAGCCAGTGGAATGAAACAGGTATTCCTAGTTAAGTTTCCAAATACATTTATTTTTTAATTGGGGAAAAAAATCTGTATCGTTCAAACCTGTTATTATTTCGATCAAGTAAATCTGACTCTTCCGTAATTTATTTTGTACAATAATCTCATCAGAATACTGGGAAGAGATACTTTCAACATACAGTAGAGATTTTAGAGGGATTTTTTGCAGTTTAAACCTGCAGCAAATATGAGAAAATTAAGTCAAAGAGTTTTAAAAAAATTTAGGTGTTAGAGCAGGCTGATCTAGTCGAAGATGTCTCTGCTTACTGCTGCCCGGTTGGACTGGATGATCTTTGAGGGTCTCTTCCAATCTAAACTATTCTATGAGCCTATGATCTATACTTGAATCTTTTTAGTACTTTCTAAATGGTAAGTGTTCTTTCCCTGCCACTCATATGGGATAAGGTTTAAATAGCAAGAACATCTTTGCTTTATAACACCATTCCTACCTGAACAGGAATTTCTTACATAAGAAATCAGCTTATTTAATAAGAAATAGCAAATTATAACTCCTGAGAAAGTTGAGTGACGTACATTAGTAGGCCAGCATATTTCTCCTGTTGCATACTGAGCGGATTTCTCCTGTTGCATACTGAGAGAATCACACAAGGAAAAGACTATGAGAAAGTAAATTCTAATTGTTAGCTGCCATTCAGCATTGTCATCTGCAGCTCTGAAAGCAAATCCACAGACATACTGATGTGTCTTGACATGCTCGAGGTTAATGGCAGAACAGGGAGCAGAACCCACTCAGCCATGGACCATAAGGATTCTCCACAACCAAGGTGTGCATCAAGCCACAGCTCTTTCTGAGACTGTGACAGACTAAAGACAGAGGATGGGGAGAGCAACAGCATAATCTTCTTTATGTGGCATATTTTTCTGATAAAGTAGATGACATGGTAAATTTCATCTAGAGAAGGTTCTTAATTCATTAACTTTGTATGACTATAGATAGGAACTGCAATATTTCAGAAGTGAGCTATTATTTGGAGTACACTTTAGAAAAGAAATATAGCCTTCAAGAGACAATGACATTGTTTCTAATCTCCTGATAAATAAAAAAGGTAAAGGATATAAAATGCATTATAAAGCTGTTCAAAATATAGTGGATACTGCATAGGAAGTCAGGATTACAACACCTAAAAGGTGTTTTTCAGAATTTTCTGTGAGGCATCAGAAGAACTTGAAATTTAAAATGTCTCACCTTGTCTGATTAGATACCTTAGAACATCCCAGAACTTCCTATTTATGTTCCTATTTACTTCCTCCACTCAAAGTTTTCTTGGTTTTCCTCACTTCTCACTTTGCATGTGCAACCACAGTTTTTGCATAGCTTCAGTTGAGTATTTTTGTCCATTCAAGCTTTAATATAGAATAGCATCCATACCTCCCCCAAACCGCCCCAGGTCAATCTATCTACCTGCATTGTGTGAAATAGGTCTCTCCATGCCTTTTAAAGAAATAACCAGATACCTGCAGAAATTGCTGACTGCATGCTTGGCTTGGTTCCTGGCATCATTCTGGTCTTCCCCACCAGCCACGTAAAGAAATCCATCCATCACTGTGACACACTGGTTAAAACTTTTAGCTGGCATTTCACTCAGCTTCTTCCATCCATTTTCAGGATCTCTGTATAAGATGTCTCTGCTAAGAGACTTTTCTGTTAGAGCAGGGCGCCCCCCAACAGTAACTAAGACTCTGAAACCTCCACGGATCCTTGTTCTTCTGGACTGAAGTGTATTCTGGTGATAGGGAAGCAAATGGTAGTTCATGGCATCCACTAGGAGCTTATGGCAGTCTGCATCTTGCATCATTCTTGGGACAGTCTGAACATAATTGACAAGATCTTGGGCTGAGATGGTACCAAAACGGATGTTACTTAAGAGATCGGCAGCATACTTTACTCTTTTTTGGTCAAATTCCAGCCATTTTATTGCAATCTGGAATGCAACAATTTCAGAAGGCAACTGCAAGTCATCATCTGCAAGAAGTTCGTTAATCTGATCAAAGGTAAGTTTTAAGAACTGATCCGTTTCTGAAAATTCAATGAAGTTGTCTCTAATGAATTTGTGCGCAGCTTCCTTGGTTGCTTTTAGTCCATATGTTTCTGCAATATTGGCAACGTACATACAATTCTCAACACTGATTTCTTGAATTAGAAAATCACAGCACATCTTTACAAGGGTGTGAATCTGCAGATAAATCGCTGTGGAAATAATACTACCTATTGTATAAAGTGAGAGAGTAAGCTTTCCTGTGTAAGCATAGGTAATAACAGTAGCTAGACCCAATGGGGATACATCGTTGAGGTCCACTCTTTGAGTGGATGGATCTTTCTTTAAGATGTTGTGAAAGTAGTCACTGCTTGAAGCCATCACAACCTTATGAACGCTGAAGGATTTTGTTTTGGTACTGATAGTCAAGTCACAAAGAAAATTCTCTTGTCTCATTCTGCTTAGACCTTCCAAGAGATTTGGACTATATAATGGGTCAGCAACTTCAGATGAAATGCAGCTGAAACCATTTCCTCCATCTAAGAGTCCATTCAAGCCATTTAGTTTACTGAGGGGACCATCTTCCACAATGATAGTCATTTCATTGATATCTGATTTGTTCTTTTTCACATTCTTCTTCTTAGGGGCCATGACTGCAATGAAGTATTACAGCCAAGAGCTTGCTAAAAATAAAATTAAAATGTTTAGGGCTCCACTGCAGTTGTGAAATTTAATAGCTATGTGATTATGCAACAAATCTAACCTTTGTCAATACATATAAACCAGAACACACAGGATAATCTCTTACTAAAAACTATTACACTGTCCTAGATTCTAGTGTGGCTGCTTCTTAATAACAATCAATACTCACATTGTGAAGGATGCACCTACAAGGAATTTTTTTTTGTTTTTTAAACAAGTTCATAAATTAACATTCACCTGTTATCACCACATCCAAAGAGTTAAATACTAAAAATGAGTTTGCCAGAGTGTAAAATTATGTAAATATATGTCTAAATCAGACAGGTTCATTCATTTAACAGGGCTGAATTCATTAGTCTGAAACATAGGAAAGATAGGGACCCCCAACTTTGTTTGTCCTTACTCCAGGGCCAGTACTGACTTACAGCTGAGTTCAGAGTTTGACCAGAAAAAGTGTGAGACATGCTTAAAGAAAAAAAAAAAAAAAAGCAAGCAAGATAAGACAGGAAGAGAAAGCAAATTTCAGTATGATTTAGGATCTGCTCCAAATTGCTTCCAGCTTTTTGTAAGTTTTTATTTTGTAGACTGATGATATTCTGTTTCCCACGTCAGATTCACAAATACTTTCTGCTTATAGCGCACTTTGTTTGCTTTTCAGCGTCAGTAATTTGAAATTATTAGTCTTACTTTAGGATTTTGTGGAGGTCTAGGGAGATGTCTAACTTGTAGTTAAAAAATGCCATGCAAACTCTAGCAGGACGTCCTATGTTAAACAAGTTCCTTATGTGTGAAGATAAGAATTACTCTTCTACAGTTATGTTAGAATGGATACTTGAATTACATGTATCAACTCTAGGCAAGTTCCAGCTCTTGCTGAAATGAAAAGCCACATTTTTGTCAAATGCAATCTGAGGTGGCTCCTCAGTAGTTTTCAAAGGTGCTATTTCTAACAAATAAATGTATATGCAAATATACACTGATCTGCAATTACACAGTTAAAACAAAATTGCTGAGATCAGTATGCATTTAGTTTCAAGTATAGCATTTACTCCAGTATATCCATTGATTTTAAAACAATTTATACATGCTAATTTTCTTTGTTATCCTTGCACTCATAAAAACAAGAATGTGAAGAAACACTACTTGATGATAAAACAAATATCTGGATTATTTTATATTACTTAATAAAAAGACTTCAGTAATATGTCAGTCTAGAACCTCAGCACATCATTTTTTTCTTTAAGCACACAGCACATAACAAAATGATAATTTAATTATAGAAAGGAATGGTTGCTGCCTATGAGCACCAGGACTTTTTTTGCTGCTGCTGCTGGGTGATGACCATGTGCAGAGCAGGCTGGGGAGAAGGCCATGTGTGCCACAAGTGTCAGTGTCAACCCGTGCTGACGTGAGCTGTGATCCCTGAAATGTCTGTATGCCAGAGCAGGGGTCAGCTGCTGCCCAGCTCCCCCCTGCTCCGGCTGCATTCCAGGAGCTGCATCTGTTGAGACCTATCAGAGTCACCTCCCAGAATAGCAACCTCCTAGCAGCTTGCCATTTTAAGACAGGTTCAATTGAATATACAGCTGGTGTTTTAGTATACTTCAGTGTTTAACACAACATTTGTTGAAAAAAAAACTATGCTACTGCAAGTGTGGTGTATATTTGTTGGCGCAGAATAAAGCAAAACATCAGCTTTTGGGGTGTCTTTGCATAATAGCCACAACTTCGTAGCTGGCAAAAGCATATATTTTGGCAGCCATATTTGTGGTTCTAAATACTTTTAGAGACCCATAACTTAAAAAGTTTAATACATGCAGCACTTAATGTTTATTGGCTCACTGTGTCATTGCATAGCTCATTTAAATACATGACATTCTAAGCTGTTAAAAAATGTCCACTTTCCAAAGTTTTTTCCTGAAATACATTTTTCCATCAGCAGAAATGTCACCAGCTAGTTTAGTGCATAAGCACACAAGTGACAGGACATGCAAAAACTATGAAACAAATCAAATGATCTTATAATAAATTCAAGTTATTGAACTTTGAAAACAAAACCCTGGATGATTTGGTTTTCTATAGCAGTTTGTTTTCATCTAACTTATTTTAGCTTAAATACAACCCAAGACAAAGGACACTCGAGGTCCCAAACCAGTATATTGAAACAACTAACCTCTCCCCCCTCCCTTAAAATGTTGTCTTCTAAACACTATCAAAGTGAGGAGTTAAAAACCCCTTACCCTCCTCAGAAAAATGTTGTCCCAGAGCTGTTCAAGAAGCTGTCAGTGAAAATGCCTCCTCCTTGGAAAATGATAAGACAAAAAGAGAGGAAATGCAGTAAAAAAAGACCAGAGGCCACTTGGTAAGTCCCAGCTTGTGGTTTCCAGTGTCACGCTTTGCTGTCACAGTGAGCAAAAGAGACCGGAGCCTGCACTTGGGTGCTCTTTAAAATGACCCCTCCTCTCTGTGCCTCGCTCCCTGTCTCTGCCCAGCTACAGGAGCTCAGCTTCCCTGGGCTGCCTGGCCTCTGGAAACCGGGGGGACAAGCTTGGACCCTCCAAATGCACAGGTATGAGGGAGAAAAGGGAGGGGAAGGTGAAGAATGTAGATCGACAGCAGGTAATAACTGTCCCAGGTGGACTACTGGTTTCCCTACCTCAAAGCTAAGTGCCTGGGTGAAAGCCAGTATTTTCAAGGGGACAGGATTAGATTGGACATAAAGAAGGTATTTTTTACAATGAGGGTGGTGAGACACTGGCACAGGTTGCCCAGAGAAGTTGTGGCTGCCCCATCCCTGGAAGTGTTCAAGGTCAGAATGGATGGGGCTTTGAGCAATGTGGTCTAGTGGAAGGTGTCCTCTGGCAGGAGGGTTGGACTGGATGATCTCTGAAGATCCCTTCCAACCCAAAATATTCTGTGATTATGGTATTCTATGACATAAAATAACCAGCAGGAAAGCCCAATGAAAAGCTGGCACTTTAGTTTCACTTTTCCAGGATTTCAGTGCTTAACTCTGGGCAGAGGGAAGGAGACCAGCTGATGGGGATTCACAGCCATGTCCTATTTCTTGGATTTAGGTCACTGCTTTCATAAAGACTTGCACCGGCTTTCAAGGAGACTGACTCACATCCCCTGATGTATTTGCAGAGAGGTGTGAACTCTGATCTTCTGTCTTGCAAGAACACCCTAACTTGTGAGTTATGTCATACACCAGAATAACCACCACCTCTTGCCAGTTAACCTCAGGAATAATATAAAGCCAAACTTCCACATCACAGGAGAATTTCATCCTATGGGAGAGATAAAAGGGGTGTGAGTGACTGCACGGGAAGGGAAGGATATTGGAAATGAGTGAAGGAGAGGAATGTAGAGCCAAGCCTTCCCAAAAGCAACAAGGTAATCAGCTTTCCTTATGAAAAATAGGGTCACAGCTGTGAAAAGTTAAGGATAAAGCCTTATTTTAAAACATATCTTAGAAACTTCTCCTTAATATACAATGTATTTTTTTTTTCTCATGTGTAGATTCCTACTGCCTCAAATATACAACTCAATATATTACCAATTTAATAGGTAAAATGGCATCTATTTTCATCTTAACACATTTCACTATATTTCAATTTACCAGTTCAACCTAATCGCAAAGTTCCCTACATGGACACTTAACTTCTTTTGAAGCTGCAGTGATTTTTACACAAAGAATATTTGCTGCTGTGCTTCATGAGTTTTAAGAACTTGCAAAACCACTTTTTGTAGATAGAACAGGCATATTTCTAATACAAGACTCCCAAACATACACATACCAGGGAACCCAAATTACTCAGTGTTCCCTTTTCACGCCTGAAATTAATGACTATAAAACATTTTGATATTGAAGTTCTTAGAATTACTTTTATGAGTTTTTATAATTTTAAGATGTCCTAAAAAGCCAACATTTTTCAGAGAAATATTTATTTTCTTTTCTTAATAAAGGGGACACTAGTTCTACAGAATTAATATACTTCCATGATCTGTATAAAATAAAAGATTATTCTAAGTCTCATACCATACCTTTAAGATTTACTAGCACACTGTAAAATAAATGTAAGTTGCATGCAGTTTCTACAGATGTGTTTCAACATCCATATATGATTCACTGTTGAAAAAACCCACACAAATGACAACGGGGATATATCCCAAGCGAAAACACAAAACTAGTATCTAATTTCCAGAAACTGCTGAACATGCTTTGAGCTGTGCAGAATAGCAATGATGAACTTGTGGGGCATGTCTCAGCATCTCAGTGTACTAATGCTGATGCAATCTCTGCCATAGTTCTCAAACATCTGCCATAATTCTCAAACTTTGTCTGTATGCTAGGGAAAAAACCCATTGAACCTTTAGTTACTTGGTTAACTAAATCAGAAGACAACTGATAGCGCACTTGGCATTATGCGGCATGCAAGCTGATCTTGGAACTAGTCATACCATTTTCCATTAATTTGTACATAAAGTCTTTCAGAAAATAACCAGTACCAGGTTTAGCTGCATATCATGATACATTTTAATAAAATGTTGATTTAATATGGTTTTTAATTTTCAGATTTTCTTAACATTGTTTCCCTTATATTTTGAAAATAAACTCTTGCATTTCTGCTTATTTCTTTTCCACTGTAATTGAAATTAATTACTATAAAACATTTTGATATTGATTTAAGTTCTTGGAATGACATTATGTATTATCCTCTCTGCTACAAGAGGGAGTAGTACCTTTTTTGCCTGTCTGGCTGTATTGTTTTAGGTATGAGTGAATCTTGGGGAAAAAAATATGTAATTTGCTCCATAATCAACTGGTATATGTGAATGACTAAGCACAATACTATCAATCCATGCAGCAGTAGCAGGTCATGCAGTAATGTTTTAACATTTTTAGGGGGGGAAAGTCAGAATCAGCAATAGGGAAAGTTCTCGTATCAGCACAGACAGGCCTTAAGGCAATTGAGACCATGTTTTATAATCCATGCACAACAGTTACTGCACTCTTTCTGGAAAATGTAAAGCCTTTTTTTTTAAGTCAGCATGCCTTAAATTGACGGTGGAATTCAAGCATCACAGCATGGCCACATGGAGACTTTACCTTGGTCAACTGAAGATGTTTACAAAACTCGGGCTCAGATTTAGATCATGGCTGCTTTGTTTGCTCTAAGCCCTTTGTGTACACTCAGCCAAAGATGATGCAGTAGTGCATGTCGAAGATCCTAGGATAGACCTGACAGGAGTCCTACACTGATGCAAAACAAATGAATTCTTGTAACAATCAACATCGGCCAGCAGTTTTGAAGAACAAGTAAACTTGGAATTCTTTCTTCTGCCGGTTATAACAGGCAATAAGAAAAATACTGCAGTTAGATCTGGGCTAGAAATACTTTTCTTGTAGGAAAGTTTTTTTTAGAGTTTAAATGTTTTTTTTCTTCAATAGCAAGAAATCATGGTATTTCAGAATAACTGGGCAGAATTGCAGCATAGATATTTTTCTCATCCCAGAAAACCCAGTAACTTGATAATTAAGGCTTTCAAACAACTCATGGGAAACCCAGCTTCAATCACATAATCTATATGACAGTCTAAGCCTCAACTTTCCTACTAAAAGATTATTTTAACTATAATGCTGGTGTGGACTTCCCCACTAGCAGTGAAATCTTCCAAGATTTCTTCTGCATAAATGCCACTCTGTAGAAGTAATTTCATACTATTAGGGACAGAAAAATAAAGAAAACGTAACTGGTTGTGGATGGCTGATTTTAGGATGGGGTTGATAAAGTCTTTACACACTGTGAAGATGAGTTAATTACTTCTGTAAAATCAAAAGACGAGCATGGAAACTGGAGAACCAGTATGCAACAAGTACCTGGATTTGGTTTTTGTATATCCAACCTGAGCGCTCTACCTACTGTATTGCCCTACCAGCTATTTTGGTTTCTCTACTGATAAATTTGCTATATACTGTGCCAAGCTGTAATAAGATCTATTTTGCAAGGATAGTAACCCCAACATGCAAACACCAGAATTTTGCCTACTCGAAAGTCCCCTGTAATTCAGACTGGATTCATTCTTTTTAGTGCTTCCCCCAAACACTGCTTTAGAGAGTGAAAGGTGTCTATATACCTATTGTAATTGTATCTACATTAGCGTCCAAAGAAATACTAAAAAAACCATGGATTTCTTCTGGGAGGGACTCAATGATCTTGGAGCCCTTGACATGCTCACCCTCAGCAATCTCCATGGAAAAGATCCTGTTTCAGTTGTGCAGTTCACACAGCACCAAAGACCAATTCCCTGTCCTACATTTTTTGTGACCTTAAGAAATGACAGAGAAGCCATGCTGGAAGTTGCAGGGCCTGAAAGTGCTTTCGCCATCAGACTCTAAATAAGGCAGAACAAACACAAACCAAACCTCTTCAGCCTGAGTGCTGCTTTCATCTGCATGTTAGGACTGCAGTAGAGTGCCTGCCAGCCATGTCTTCAGAGGCTTGGCCTCGCTACTGCTATGCAAGCCATAGTGCTTAACGCGCCACTAAGCAGCCTTACAACCACGCACAGACAACAGAAATGCCACAGATCTTACTGGCAACTGAACAAGTTTGCACAAGCAAATGCGCATGACTGATGCTAACGGTGTGCCACCTACCACCGGCATCACTCAGTGCACCCCGGGTGCACAGACCTCTCATGGCAGCTTCTCCTGAGGGTGGCAAACCTGTGCTGATGGACACACCTTGCTGCTCTTGCAGGGTAAAGAGTATATGCCATGCCATTCCTTGGTGCAGCCTGCTGTTCCCCACCTCCCCGTCCCCAACTCATCTCCATGGTATTACTTCAACTATAGCTGTACTTGGTCAGTACCACACTGCGTGTTATTAAGTCAATAGAGGCAGAACGAAGAAAATCATTGCTGTTTGGTAGCAAACACCAGGTCAGCCGCAGCTACCTGCGAGCAGCCCAGCAGCGCTGAGCCACCCCGGATCGCTGCCTGTTGCCGGAGCCTGCCCCCATGAGACATGACCAAAGCCCCGGCCCGCGCGGGGACCTCTCCCGCCCGCTCCGCCTCTCGGCTGGGCCTGACCCCCGCCCGTGAGTCCCCCAGGGAAAGCTCGGGCGTAGGCATAGGGAGGCGCAGAGGACCCAGCCGGGCGCTCAATGCACAGCGGGGAGCTGAGGAAACGGTAGGCACCGCTGACCCCTGCGAGGGCAGGGCCCCGCGAGCCTCCAAATCGCCAATGGCGCGGCGACCGCTACTACAAGAGGGGAGAGCCAGGGCTGAGAGACCCGGCCGCGGCAGGGAGGGTCCCGTTGCCATGGCCGAGGGGCGGAGCGCCGCACGGAGGGTGCTGGAGCTGAAGGAGAGGTTGGGGGGCGCGCAGGAGTCCGATGAGGTATCGGCGGCCTCCCGGGCTCCGGGTGGGGTGTGCAGATGGAGCCCCAGGAGGCTGCCCTGTTATCTGCATGTCCACTCAACGCGAGTGGCGGTGGGCTTGGCGGTGCCGCTGGCGGACGAAGTCCCGTGGTGGGGCAGGCTGAGGCTGCTGGCCCTCGGCGCGCTGAGACACCCGGGTCCGGGCTGCCCCTGCCGCTGCCCCCCGTTTTGTTTCCGTCCCCTGTTATGACCAGGAGGGGTTGAAGGAGGGCTGGTGGCCGTCAGGTCGTGCGTGGTTATTTCCTGGGTGAGGGCTAAGGCTTTCTATGGGTGGTCAAGAGGCCATGCGTGCAGTCAGGTGAGGAAGAGAAGGAAAACAAGGCTGCGTTCTTGTATCTAACCTCGTAGATGTTCTTATATCTAACAGGAGCACAGGCTGTGTGAAGTCTTGCCAGCTTGGCCACAAGGTGAAAATGCAACAGCAAGAGTGCTAATTTTTGTTTTCGTAAGGGCTTTTCTTGGCAAAATAGGTATTTCTGCTTTGTTTTAATGTTGTGCAGCAAGAGGAGTGGGAGCTGTAACACCCTGCATTCTTATTCCTGGTGCTCGAGACCAAAGCTGCTCTTATCTCTAAAAAAAAAAAAAAAAAAGAAAGAAAATATCAGAATATCAGATAATCTCTGTAGGGTAATAGTAGCTGCAAGGACTGGATAATGAATACTTGAAGCAAGCACATATCAGTGGGGAGATGGATCAGAGCAGCCTATGGAAGTTGTGCTTGCCACTTGAGGTACAGAGGCAAAAGGGGAGATAAGCACAGACTGCAGGGCAGCTGAAGGGGGAAGACACCCTCATTCTCTGAGGTGCAGCCTGGACACTGAAGGGAATGGAAGCAAGGTGGTATGTGCCAGATTGGCCTCAATGTATTGCGAAGTAATCACATTTGACTGAAGGTGTATTCAGTGGGGTGGGTTTTCTTTGAGGGTTGGATTCCATGTGAAAGTACAGAATGCATTTGGTGTGATAGAATTGTAAGACACTAAAATTTGATCAGTTTGTAGAAGTATTTGGATCTGAAGGGTGGCAGTGAAATGTAATCTGCAGTGCATTTGGTAGTTAATGAACTTGAAAAGCTTAGTTATTAAACATACCTACTGTGTCTTTTCAAAGCGTGTGTATGTATACGCATATAGAAAATACTGATTCTCCTAGCCAGTAATGGTTTATCTTCCTGAATGCCAATGCTGTAGGTTTTATCTGTGCAAAATGCAAATATCTGTGCAGGTGCTGCTTCTGATGCTCCAATTTGCAGTTCAGTTGACTTAAAATCCCTTGTGCAACAGGAATTATCAGATGTTACAGCCTTTGACTTTTTTAGTGCCTGGGGTTGGTGTTGATACCCTGTTTTGAACAAGAGATTGAAAGGGAAAAGGCAAACAGTTCTAGAGGTAATTAATTTCTAAGTGATCCCAAGCCAATAAGCTTCAAAACACATTCAACTCAAGTGAAAAAATGTGTATAGCCCTGTAGATGGGTTCCATTAAGGAAGGAGATGGACAGTTTTTGTAGCATGACTTCAAGCAGGTGCTGCATAAAATGAGACTAATGGTGGTGCTGCAACACTTCTGCTGTCCCTGGAGAAGCTGTCTACTGAAATAGAAGTATTTACAAATAACAGGGACTAAGGAGTCGCTGGGGAAGTGAGAAACTGATAGTCATAAATTGGCACTCATGACTTGCACTGCTAATAAAAGGTAAATCGTAACAAAAAATGTGATTATCATGTTTAAAGGCAAAGAGGAAAATTTTAGGTATGTGTATTAGCATTACAGATGTGTGTGTTCAAGTGTTGGTGGTGTCAGATATTTCTATACTGGAGAATAATATTTCTTGGCACTTTTTAATAACTGCTGAATACTTATTGATCTGGTAGTAACCAGAGAAGATGCAGAGCCTCTATTGTTCATGTCAAAGGCTTCTTAATGTGTGAGGTTTTATAGCTACCCCTGTGAGTTTTCAGAGAAGTGACCAAAGAACGAACAAAACAAACGATTTAGGTATTGAGTGATGCTCAAGGGACTACAGAATTTCAGCAGGAGAGGAAAAAAGTACTGTGATGTTGTTTGTGCGGGTAAATGAAATGGTCTTCATTGAGATTGATCACGGAGGAATGAGAACAGCTGCATGATGTTGCATGTAAGATGTACCTTTTATAGAATTAAAGGATAGTGCCATGATCCATGCCACTTTGAGACTTTATGTAGATATGTCCTGCCAAATTTATCTCAAATTATATTCAACTGACACCAGCTGTCATAAATATATGCAAATCTCTTAAGGCATTCGACTTGCTTCTGTATGATGCTGATTACAGTAGCAGTGTTATGGACCTGATGCAATACCTAAAGTGGATTTCAATTGCACTCACCAAAAATAAGTGCTAGACCTCTTGAAAAAGAATATTAATTTGTGGTTTTGGTTGTGGGCTTGTGGTGGGTTTTTTTGGGGTGATAGCTTATTATGCATCTATTCTGGACATGCTGCTGCTCAAATCTTTCTTAATTTAGAAGACAGCAAGTGTGGTAGGGAAATGCTACAAATACTGGAGTAATTTGTGGTGAATGAAGGGAGACCCTTCTAGAAACCAGCTTTGATCATGTGCTAGGCTGCATTCATTTGAGCAGCATGCATTTTAACATGGCTCAGTGGAAAGTCACAGCTAGGAGCTACGAATGTAGGTCACTCGGGATAGGAGACTGTATTTTGGAAAGCATTGACTCATAAAATGATTCAGAGCTCTGATGTATTACCAGTTGAGCATGAAATTGCAGCACAATGCAGTGGCTTATGGAGTAAATGCTGTCTTTGGGTAGATTAGCAGGGTTATGTTATTACTGCTATATAGTATTAGAGGGACAATTACAGGAATATTACGTCCTGTTCTGGGGACTGGCTTTAAAAACAGCACTGCCAAGCTGCAAAGATAGTCAGCCAGAGAATGGCTATAGGTCTGGCTAGCATAACTTGCTGAAACTGAAAACCAAGGTGAAGTATGTAATTAGTGTTTACATTTGTATTGTATAAGATGTTTGAAAGAAACATTTCTTTAGCAGAAAGAGATCATTAGATTTAGTAGCTGGAAACAAAACTAGACACACTTTTTTAGCGAACAGTTGTGGTGCTGTGTTTTGGTGGGGGGTGTGTGGATTTGATAGAGGGCAGAGAAATGACTTGGGAATGTATTGGGTTTCCTAATGTGTTGTCTTCAGAGTCTTGGTGACCTTTCAGACAGGGTGTCTAGTATGGACTTGGTGAAATTCCATGGGCTGTGTTACAGATCAGCATGAGCTAATAATGGGGATTCCTCAGAGAGAGATACGCTGCTAGTGGGCAAGGAGGGAAGGAGAGGAAGCAGGAAAAAGCTACTGGGGTGAAATGTTGAACCAGTCCCTTGATCACAGAAGGCCTGGGGATCTGTTAATTGGTCCCATCCTTTCTGAGGGTCCAGGCTCAGGTAGGAAAAAAAAAAAGAAAGAGATTGTACAACACTTGTATAAAGGATAATGGCACAACACTGGTGCAGTGGGAAGAGGTCAAACTTGGCACAGTTGGGATCTGTTATCATCACTTTCAGTTTTGACTCTGGAAAATTTTGTTTGCTCACGTGCTTCTTACACACTGCTCATTACCATTGCTCTCTGTTTTCCAGTGCCTTCCAGCTTTCCCTCTTTCCCTTCATTTTTAGCTCCCTCTTGCTCCTGTTGTCACCTTTGCTTTTGTCTCAGCAGTATGAGTGTGCCAGCTCTGTTTGTCCACAAGGCTCTGCTTCTGTTGTCTGTGTGTTGCATGAAGATCCGTGTTTTGGGCTTGCTTAGAATGCTGTTTATTGTAAAAACAACAATCCTAGAAGCTTTGGATCATTATTTAGAAATCGGTATTTAGGAATTACATAGAATAGTTCAGGAATCGTATGTAGAGGCAACATCTATGTTCTTTGTAGTTTTTTATGTGGTTTTTTTTAATAAATTTTACCTTCTGTGAAGTTTGCCATCTCTTTTAAAGTCAATAGAATTTTTCCATAAGGGTATAGCTGGTAGTGGTATGAAAGGAAAAATAGTCTGAAAACCAGTGGAGGGTTGCATATGTGTTGTGTACATATGGAAGAACTTGGGGGGGAAAAGAAGTTACTGGGTACAGTCCAGTGAGGTAAGAGCCAGATGGGCTACAAATGCTTCAGTAAAATGTACGGTTAGAACAAGGCATATGAATGGTCAATCTTCATCTTGTTCCTGTAGGGATGCTGGGGAGGGACTCTTCATTAGAGGCTGTAGTGATAGGACAAGTGGTAGTGGGTTAGAACTTAAACAGGGGAAGTTTAGATTGGATATAAGGAGGAAATTCTTTCCTGTTAGGGTGGTGAGGCACTGGAATGGGTTGCCCAGGGAGATTGTGAATGCTCCATCCCTGGCAGTGTTCAAGGCCAGGTTGGACGAGGCCTTGGGTAATATGGTTTAGAGTGAGGTGACCCTGCCCATGGCAGGGTTTGGAACTTGATGATCTTAAAGTCCTTTCCAACCCTATGATTCTATGATTGTTAAAGGCCTGCTCAGAATGAACTTAAGATAAATGCTTTCTCTTTTTGCCTTATTTTCATAGAATCATAGAATGGTTTGCATGGAAGCTACCTTAAAGGTCATCTAGTTCAATGCCCATGCAATGGGCAGGGATGCCTTTTACTAGACCATGTTGCTCAAAGCACCATCATACAATAATTGTAATGTTCTACCATATAAATATAATGACATCAGTTTGTTTCTAACAAGCTTTAGTTTCAGTGACAGGCTTTACTCTGTCCTGTGCATCACAATATAGGTTTTTGTGGCCTTCACTGAAGTCTGATAGATATTGGAGCTTGGTGTTTTTGCTTTAAAAAGCAAACATCCATGCTTAGTCTGATAAATAAATCAGAGCTCTTTAGCAAATAGGATAAATATACGCAAAGTTTCTCTGTTGTACTGATGTTCTCCACAAATTAAATTTGCTGTTTGTGATTGTAAATATGTTTGGTTTTAAGTGCCAACAGCTTGGAGATGGGTAATGTCTACTGGCAGGCTGGATGATGCCGTTTACATTGACAGGTTACAGTACAAGGCAAATGGAGCTCTCTTTCCTTTGCTGGTTCTGTGCACACGTAGCTGCTGATCTCACTGCAGCTTGAGCAGTTCCCTGCTTTCAAGAGATCAGGATCACTTCTAAAAGGCTTGTCAGAATGTTTGATCAATGCTTTCTGTTTTCTTCTTAATGAAACCCTTTTGTGTGTCTTAATTTGCCAAATGTGAAACACATTTCAAGAAAGCGAAATGAACGGTGTGGTCTTTGGTTTAGAAAACATAGAAGGTTTTGTCTTTCATTAAAACGTGTTGACTGCTTTTGGACATACTTGTCATCTAGGTGCTTTTGTAATTTAGCCTGTTGGATTGAAGTTATATGAATAGGAATTGCCTTCTTCCTGAATCTGTTCTTCTGAAATTAATTCTGCTTTATGAATTAACATAGCCCGAAGCCCGTCAAAAGGAAACTTTCAAAACCCCTGTGCTTTTTTTGTAACTTGATGGGAAAAAAAATCTTCCAGTGTTCTTCCATGTGCAGATTTGTCTCTTGTCCATGGGATTTATTCCCAGGGGTTTACACTGCTTCAGTCATCCTGTATAGCACAACATAACCTGTCAGCAATGTGTTACTGCAAAATAAATTAAATAAATAGGAATATATTTTGAAATTAAATTAAAACAAACAAAAAGCAACCTAACTTGACACTGATAACATAGTTTCTAATGCTTGTAATTAGTATTGCAAGCAATTACTGTGGTTTTTTTTTTCTACTTAAGCATCTTTGCCACACTTTTTTTCCCTTGTGGGACTATTTAGAAGTCTTCAGGTCATTAAATTTGTAGCCTATACATGTGATGCATCTGGAAACAAGTTAAATGTTAAGCTTGTATTCTTCTCAGAAGGAAGAAAGCTCTCTTGCCATGCAAAATTGTTTTTAAGTTCATTATAGGTAGTCTTAAGCACAACTTCCTGGCTCATGGACTGTCTTAATCTTAAATAGGAGATAAGCAAAACTTCACATGGCTTTTGTACTGGTTCTGAAATTTTGCTCAGCGAGCTTTTTTTTTGTAGGTATCCTGCCATTTTGTACTTAAGTGGGAGAGAGTTGATTTGCTACCTCTGATCTTAGGTGTATGTCTTACCATTACAGCTTCTCTGATGTTTTCCCGGGATGTGAAGCATTTCTCCTATATTTCTGTAGGTCTCAAACACTGTTAAGAAGGTGGATGATTTGCAGTAAGAACTGCATATCAGACATGTGGATAGAGCCCACTGTACACAGTGAAATTCAGTGTCAAATGTGGTATTACATTATTTTAATGCATTATAGGAACAATGGAACTTAAAACAGTAGAGAAAAATATCCCCCACTGCAATTTGTAAATTGCTGCTTCAAGTTTGCTGCTTGCTTATTCTAGTACCTCTTCTGCCTCCTGCAGCACCATTTCAGAAGCAATATCTGATACAATAAATAACAGTTAATTGGTTAAGTTAACATAGCTGTTACTGTCATTGAAAGTTTCTGGTAGTTTTCTGGGTAGTCTGTTTTGCATTCCTGCAAGTTCCTGCCATTGCATTTAAGAGGCAATGATCTGAACTGCAGGCTTTGTGAAAGCCTTAAGAAATGCTGTTAGTTCAGTTGCACATTAATTCTGTCATCTACATAACATAGCTCCATGGAAGATTGTGAAAGTTGCTTGTGTGTAGTCCACTGCAAGACTCTGGGGGTGCGGTATACCCATTGCCCAAGGAATTGATTACTTTGCCAAAGAAATTTATACTATAAATGAGATTTTTGTGTTATTAAAACACTTTTCATAGGAATATGAGCATTTTGTATTTACAAAATTCTTTTCTGTTTTGATGGAAAACACTGAACTTTGTAGCAGGTGCACGTTTTATCAGTGTGAAACAAAACAGCTGTTGTAGCCTGAGCTTGTTTTTTTTAATATACAAAGTGCAGTTAAGCTTTCAAAACCTTATTTTTTGCCAAATGGGCTCCCACCTGCTCTATAGGCTTTTCTTGGAAAAATGGTGCTGCTCACTGGGAGACTTGCTGATTTTTGCATGGTGGTTCTGCATAATGCAGCTTTTCTATTGTTTCTGTGGCAAACAAGGGTCACTGCTACACAAGAAGTGCGGCCATATGTAGGTAGCCTGTTCTACAGGTGTACTGCTGTATTATTGATCTTTAATATAATCTACGGTAAATTTATACCTACTGGATATTCTGGTGTTACTGAAATTGGTGGGTTGGCAGAACTATCCTGGTTCACAGTCCAGACCCCTGACACAGCCCTGCTGTGCAGTAAAGGAGTACTTTTCCTGGAGTTACTGATGTTCCTTTTAACACTGTTGAGTGGTTTTGGAATAAATGTGTGAATCAGAATGAGAAAAATAGAATTTATGCATCTGATGCTTTCTTCCAGATTATAGAAACTCTTGAGGTACTACAGAATTTGGATATATCACTGGATATTCTAGTGGTAAGTGACCAGTAATACGTTACTCTTCCATAGTGACTTACAGTGTGAATGTCAGTGGTCTGCAATCATAGAAGCAGCGAATATGTTGCATTTTGTAATTTTGATTCTTAATCATGATTTCTTTAGAGGTTTGTACAGGGAACCATGGAATCTTTTCCAAATACGAGGTGAAAGCTAGGCATACAGCTTGAGAAATGCAGTATTATGCCAACAGCGATAGTACTGACCAAGAATCTGAGCGTATAAAGAATACTACTCAGAGGTGGTTTCTTCTCACTGTAAAACTGATTTCAAGTCAATGTGTAAAACTAAGCAAATATGGGTAAAATGTTCTCTAGGTCAGTTGTCTAAATCTTGCCTCTTATTCACAGTTCAAAATTAATTTATTTCATTTAAAGAGCAGGCATCCAAAGTAAGGATACTTGTGACTTGTATCCTTATCCAAGATGCATCCTATCAGATTTTGTATTAGAAATTCTCACACTGGCTTTGAGTTATTATGAGCAAAGTGTCTATGTTCTGGGAAGAAAATTGCTGAGGTGCTGTTTTGTTGTTTTTTTTTTTAGTTGCAAAACAAAATTGCAATTAGTTATTTAAAATAACAAAGGGCTTCTGCAGGCAACTCGTGCCCAGCAAACTTATATGTTTTATAATGTGACAGGCTTTGAAAGCCTTCAAGTCAAATAGAGGAAAGAGATGCCTTACAGCTGGGGACTCCACATATTTTTTTGATGCATTTGAAGAGCATAAATAGTCTAAATGCTAACATGAAAATAATTGTACTGGGGAAAACAGAAAATGACAGGTTTTAAATATTCTTTTTTATTTCCCTGTGGCTGAAGCTGAGGCTGAGTTCAGTCATATGAGCTCTGCTTCTCTAACCCCTCTACTACTGTTGTGGTTGAGATGCATTTTGCATTACAATATGTCCGCCATACATCCTCTCTAACATGCTAAAATGTACCTGCGTAAGCCTAAAGGGGTGATAAACATAATTCACTGGAGCAGTATGGATTTTGTGGGCATAACCATTTGAGCCAAGCGTAATTACTGAAATAAATACATTTAATGGAAGAAAAAGACTTCTTAGTTTTATGTGTTAAGACTGCATTTTATTCCCCATATTTGGTTATAAATATCTACCTTCAGTTCTGTTTGTGGCATAAAAATTGTGTTTATTTTTTAGCTGCCATAAGAGTACTCTGACTACTATGTTGATACTGCTTGTAGCTTTTTTAGAGAAGATTTTATTTGGGATGTTGTTTGATTTATTCTGCCCATCTTTCTTGCACTATCTTCAACAGGAAACTGGCATAGGCAAAACAGTTAACAGTTTTAGGAGACATGCCACTGCTGGGAATATAGCTAGAACCCTGGTAAAACAATGGAAGAAACTTATTCCTTCTGAAAAGAAAAGGTAGGTGAACTAACTTTTTTCTGAAAGTTAATTATACTGTAGTTAACTTTATAAAATACAGCTTGGAAAGCTTAGGAAAGTGTTTGGAATGACAAGTTAGCATTAGGACAAATGCATAAATTGAGTGGAAGAAATAAATTTTGCTTTTATAAAATATCGGCAGACAAATCAGAGTAACTAGGATTGGTCAATTAGCCATCCAGCACTCACTTCGACTGCCTCATTTGATTGGCACAAGTTAAGTCCCAGCTGGTGCAAGTGGAACTAAGCCAATGGTGGGCACTGCTCTTCAAGGAAGTAGGAAGCTTGCTCTTTCTTCCCAGAGGTGGTGGTTAAATGAAGCAACATGCTAGTGATTTGGCTCTATAGAGGGCTTTCTTATAATGCTCTTATTAAAGTGGACTGAGAGAGGCTTTCAGTGCTGGAGGAGTCCCACTGAAGAGGTGTGCCTTCTTCAGAATGAAGCAGCCACCACCACCATGTCCAAACTGAGTGCTTCAGATGTTTTGCAGACCTCTGACCTTTTGAGGCAGTTGAGCTGAGAAAGCCAGAGGTTTAGATGAAATAGTGCATTTTAAGTCTGAAGTTGTCCGAACAATAGGAAAGTGGAATATCAGAAACAATGATAAGCAGGCTGACCTGTTGTAATCTGTATCACCTCCAGAGTATGTCATAAGTTCTGTCTCTTCATTATTTCAAGTGTGATAAAGCATGCAGGAAAGCTTGTGTAAAAAGTGGTATCCAACACCCTGTACGCATTTCAGGCATGTTTTTGTACTGACAGTTATGGTTGTACCCCCAACTTGTCTTGCTGTCAATTCTTGTTGCAGTATTAATGGTGCCGGACCCAAGAGCTGCTGCTTTGGGGTTCTGTATTGATAATGGAAGAATAAGAGCACAGCAGAGTACAGGTCTGGGGCTTCTAAAATTATGACGCATGGTGTGATTTTAATGCTTCTAGTTTTATTAATACAGTAAAAAGATTGATCGGGAATTTAGCATCAGATGTAGCATGGAATGTGATTTAATTTTTTTTTTTAATGTTTCAGCACTCACAGAGAAAGAAAACAAGGTACTGAAAAAGATGAGACAAAATCTTCCATTTCCAAAGAGGTTACGCCTTCAGAGAAGTCCAGAGCATCTGTACTGACCTCCAGAAGTTCCAACAGTGCCCCCGATTCTAAAAAGTTGAATAAGAAGCATACTTGTAGTGAAAAGATCCACCAAGGTAGAGATTCTGAGTCTCAAAAAGAATGTGATAATAAAGAATGTAGCAATGATGATTATGAGCATGCTTCCCAGGGTACCAGTCCTCAAGCTAAAGAAAGTGACTTCAAAGAGAGAACCTCTACAGAGAGCAAGAATTTTTCGGAAGAGCAGCATTCCTCTGTAGCCAATAAAGACTTACCGCAGCTGAAGAAAAAGCCTGGAAGGGATGCTTCCAAAAAGAGGAATCCTAAGCATGTGAAGAAACCAAAACAAAAACTTGTCCTAAAAAGCAAAGCCAAATTATCTAGTGATGAGGAATTTGAGCCCCCTACTATGTCTTTTGAATCTTACCTTACTTATGATCAGGTTACAAAGAAAAGAAAGAGGAAGGCTTATTCTACAGGTGAACAGCCAAAAAAGTGCTCTGAACAGAAAGACAGCTTGTTACTACAGAAGACTTCAAACTTTTCCTATGTGAAAGAGGCAGAGGAATATGTAAAAAAATGTGAGGATGCTCAATTGGAAACTCCCAATAAAAAGGTAAACCATTCCATGGTTGAGATAATACCAAATAAACTGCAGATGAATAAATGCTTTGGACTCATTTTCAGTGAAATGCAGCTGTATTTGTTTTCAGCAACAGCTTGCCTGGCTCTAACATGATGATTGTATTGCAGTTGCTAATAATTGCAATAATTGGGGTGCACCCCTCTTCCCTCCCCCCCCCCCCCCCGGATTTATTGCTTACTGGCAGTTTACAATTGATCCGTTTTGTATTTTTAAGATGATTTCCAATGTGGCAGTAGTCTTTGATCTCTATAAACTAATCTGCTATTTACCTGCAAAGTAAAAGTGCTTACTTTTGGAAAGATATCCCCTTCTTCCATTCTTGACCAGCCTGGTTTGTGACTACAGCAGCTGTTTGTGTATAGCACAGTCATTTTGTCATATGTAGTTTGTAATAGTGAATGTTAAGATATGTGGTAGAAATGAACTTTTTGTTTTTAAAGCATTGAAGTAAACCACAGTACAGCATCTAAAAATAGCTTATATGTTTGTAAATTAAAATATCCTAGTCCTTGAGGGAGATGAGGCTTAAATAGCTCCTCTGAGCCAAAGTAGATCTAAATGTGCATTAATCAGACCTTTTAAATGAAGCCCTTTTGTGCACTGGGAATTAGAGATCTCTTCAGTCTTTATTGTGATGTGAAAGCTCCAGGCTTTACCTGTTGTGGTAGATCTGCAATCTGAATGTGGTATCTTCTGTCCAAACAGAAATAGTAATGTTGAGACTTGTATATGATACTCTAGGATAAACTGAGGAAAAATTTTGTATGTTCAAGCAGTTATGAAAAGTTACTAAAGATACTGAGATGAAGTTCAGGGTGATGTAAGTTTTGGGCTGTGCCTAGCTTACAATTGGAGTACACCTAAAACCCAATTTAGATGTTCATATGATGCCAAGCATTTGTAGGGACCTGTACTTGCGAGATTGCAGTATCTTTAAATTCCTTTTTAAGGGGTTATCTGTGGAAAACAAATAGGCTAATCAGTTTATCCAGTGCAATGTAGGAGACTTAGTTTGCCTTTAAACATTTAATTGTGGTTTTGTCATCTTGTGGTTTTTGTCTCATTCACTGCATGCCTCTAACCTCAGTAGTGATTTATCTGAAACTCTGTTAGCTGAACATATCTGCTCTGTTCTTTAATCCTTTTTTATGCACTAATTGCAAATATCTCCCTAAGATCCTTTTGTGATGTAGTCTTGGTAAGTAAGAATATGAAAGGGTGTGATGAAAAGTAACCCAGTGACTAGATGTTAGTGCAGAAAAGCAGTTATTCTAGTTATCCTAGTTAACCTCATGATTTCCTTAAGGGCTGTTTTTGTAGCTTATTTTAAGCCCCAGTAAACCCAGATTTGTAATATTGAAGCAATATTTCCTTCTCTGTGCACAGGCCAAGGTGGCATCCCTCCAAGATCTTCTTAATACTCCACTGCCTAAATTTCTGACAGACATCTCAATCTCATCTCCCCCATATGCTGCAGACTTTAAAGGTAAGTGATATGCAAGGCTGATAAATGTGAAATAGCGCAGGTTTTTACAGCTCCATGTGGAGACATTTTTATCCCTTTCCTAATTAAACTATATTAGATCATCTGTCCATGGCAAAGAAATGCCTTGCTTTCACTTTCTCATCTCTGGAAATGATGTTGAAGCTGAAGAGATTTATAAAGGCTCTTAGGGCTTGCTGAATAAAGAAATACTCTGGAAAGTTATCACAGATGTAGAGGAGGCATGATCAGGTGGTAGTTCTGCAGGCTCCATTTATCTTTACTCCTGTCCATACCTTACAATAGGCAAAGCCTTAGTAGGTACTACCTTAGAAAAAACAAATATAAGAAGCACTACCTCTGCCTTCAGCATAGGAACTTTCTAAGACCTTTATAGGTCAGTAACACAAAGTGCTGATGGTTCCCCTATCATCTCTTGTGAGATTTCAGTGGTTTTGTATTCATCTGGTCTTGAAACATCACTGCTACTGCAGCTTCTGGGTTCTGTAGGATAGCTCAGGAAGATCAGTAATGTGCTGCTGACTGATAAGAGTAATGCACATGTGAATACAGCTCATGTAAACCTGGGCTAAATTATATAAGGCTGGTTTGAGTTGGAGCAGCTCACTTGCGATGTACATGCTGGTTTGGTGTTAGACTTCTGTAACATGTAATAACACATGTAAGGGCCCCAAAACTAGTGTGGTAATGTTGTATTTCAAGAAAAATGATTATGTGTGTATCCTACCAGCTATATTTCTCTCAGAGATGAATGTTTAAAATATTTTAAAATGTCAGGAGATAAAGGAATCACTGCCTGATGTTTTGTTTGCAGCTTCTGTAGCACCTGTTGTAGAAGCACCCCAGCAAGTCAGTGAAACAGTTCAATTCACAGGACGGAGACTAAACTCTAAAATGCAAGTTTACTCTGGCTCTAAGCCAGCCTATCTTTCAAAGATGCTTACACTGTATGAACAGTGCATCCGTGTGCTTCAAAATAATATTGATTGTGAGTACTTTTAGGGATTTGTAGCAGACTGTGCCTGAAAGTATATTGGATTTCTTATTTCTCCATTGCTTATATCTCCAGCAACTGGCCTGCTAAAGGATACTGCCTCTCCCTATAAATGGTTGAAAGGCATGTAAATAAAGTGGATTTACAGCCATGCTAAAATGTACTTTTGTTTTGAAAGCTTACCTTTTCTTAAAGCTCCAATTTTTAGTTAAAATATAATGTCCTGTGGTTATAAGCCAGAAAGCCAACTGGTACATTCCCCCCCCCCCACCTCAGAGATGGTTGTCTACATAAATAAGATGCACATTGGTAAAGACAGGTCAATAGCTATTCAAAGATGCTTTCTCCATCCTCAAATACAACTGCCAGTTGGTATGGAACTGCTGATTTATAAATATTTTCATAGCCTGACTTCAAAACATGTGTTCTGTCAGCACATGCTAAAATTAACTTGTGTTCTTATTTTTAAAGTGTTTGAGTGGTGTTACCCACTGAATAAAATAAATGAGATACTAAAAGTACTGTCCTCTTTTGTAGCACTGCATGAAGTAGGAGGTGTGCCCTTTGAAATTCTTGAGCCTGTGCTAACACGTTGCACACCAGAGCAGTTGCTTCGAATAGAGGAATGTAATCCGGTAATTTCTGCCTTGTTAAATTCAGGGGACCATGGAGGACATGAGGCATCTGTTTCTGCCTTCCTTGTGCCTTTTGTGATAAAGTTTCTCCATGAGTTATACTGGTTTTCTATTTTGAATACTTATTTCTTTGAATTTAGCTGTCATTATCAAGCCTTCCTTTCTCAGGTGTTGGGATTTAAAGCATTTTGTAGAATCATTACTCTTCACTAAGTGAAAGCCAGTGTGGGTAGAGAAGTGTTTTTGTTTCCAAAAATAAGGAAAAAGAGTATTCTGTATTTACTGCTGATGTAGCTGGGAAAGTTGTTACGGAACCAGCTGTTTCCAAGTTAAACTGTTAAGGCTGAAAAGCATTCCAATTGGGAAGTATGTGGGGTGAGACTTCATGTGTGGTAGATTTATCTACACTGTTAGGACTTTGGCTCTGTGGTGCATTTGGACATGGAGTGTTCACCATTTCATAGTGCAAGCCGGCCATTTTTCTGCGTGGCTGAAGTTGAGATTTGATGTTGCCTGAGCCTGTGCTGGAAACACAACTGTGGCTTGTGAGCATAACTCACCAACTCAAGTATAGAGCTCTGCTATACGAAGCTATGTGATTTCTAGACTGAAGTCAGTATCTCAGTGTGTTGCTGCCACTCTCCATCTTGGAGGCACCTGTGGCAGCGTGTGTAGTGGGATTTGTTCTGCGTTTTCTCCACCAGGGGACTGGTATTTGTCTGCAGGCTCAGCTAACAAGTATTCTTGAAAAATACTATTTTTAAGTCTTTGACTTAAGATATCTTGTGTTCAAATTAGACATTTGCAGAAGAATGTGACCACTTGTGGAAGAAACACTGCCAGAGAGATTTTAAAAGCAAGAGCTTCCTGGAATACGAGTCTTGGCGTGAAATGTATTTGAGGCTGTTTAATCAGAGAGAAGAAAAACTGAAGACACTTACAAAAAATATTATTTCAGCTCAGTCTGAGAAACCAAAAGGTAGAATCCTTGGCTAGCTTTTACACTTACAAAACTCAGTTTCTTCTGCTATTCCTGATGCTTTATATGTAGGTTTTAGTGATTTGTTTGCACTGAGCACTAGTGCTGTACCTCTAAGAGAAGACGTCAAGAAAGAACACTGTTATTTTTAACTTACAAGTTGCTCAAAAAATATGCATGCAATAATACAGTACATTAATGCATAATACTTGCAGCATGCAGTAGACAATCTTACCTTACTGGTTAGAATGTGGATACTAAGCAGCAATGCAAAGATTGCAAATGTAATTACAAATAGCAATGTTAAAATGAAGAAATACAGCATGCAGTCTATATGTGATTTGCCATGGTTCAGTTACTACTTTGGTACCAGATTCTGCTTTCCTGAATTAGTTTTTCCTAAATTTAAACCTAGGAATTGCTACACAACTATATTATCAACTGAACTTTGACCATAAAGGGCAAAAGAAGTTACATATCCTCTGCTTTTCTGTATTAGGCAGGCAAGTAAAAATGGCTTACATGACCAGTGCAGCAAAACCACCAAGGAACGTTCGCAGGCAGCAAGAAATCCATGGGACAGCAGGACCTGTCACCCAACTTCATCCCATAGAGAAGTGCAAGTACGTGCTCTGTACTATGCTTTTAATTTTAGATATCTTTTGTTAATACAATAGCTTGCTGTCAAAATATTTTTGAAGTTATAAATGGCTTTGTACTTGCTTTTTTAAGCAGCTAGTGAATAGAAACTAACTTGCTTTTTAAGCCTTTTATGCTCTTCTGCTGCGTATGTGTTGCCATCCCATGTTTCTCCAAAGTGCCAGTGATGAATTCACCCTTCCAACTGGAGAGTGAGTGGATGCTCCTGTTTTTCCCACATTACACTGATGCTGTTTGAGTTCCAGGGGAGATTTCAGTGTTGATGTCCTGTGTTTATAAACCTGTCCAGTAGCCTCACGTATTCTCTTGCTTTCATAAAATCCCAGTCAGCTGCCTGGAGTGATGTAGCTGACTCAGTGAATCTCTGCAACTTTTAATAGTCCTTATGGCGGGTTTCTGCTTTGGCAGCTTAAAGGAGTGTTTGGAACAGTCAGGCTGTACTAGTAGTAAATACTAGTCACTGATGGAACAAAGAACCGGGATTCCACAAATGTTTCCTTTGCACAGCACAAACCCAACTTTTCTTTGTGACACTGTACTTCAGAGTAGTTCAACAGCCACAGAAGCCAAAGCCGAGATGTGGTGTTTGTCTTACTGTTCTTGCCAGCCTAATGAACCTTCTTGTATCTGAGAGTATGGCTGCAACAGGGAGATAAAACCTATAACACCAGCATCTATCTGGAGACAGACTACTGGCTTTTACTGCTTAAATATCTGTTCTTGTATGAAAGAAAAATTCAAGGTTGATTCTGAAGCACCCCATGAGTCAATGAGTCCATGTACCAGCAGTTGGACCATAAAGTCTCTGAAGAGTATTCATACTGCCTGAACGTGGGTATCTTAAGCTGCGGTCACTCACTGCTGTGGCTGCTGATGAGCATGGTGCACTCCCTTGTCCCCACTGCTTGTGGTTTTTCTCATGTCAGCATAACTGCTCTTCAGCTAGCTCTTTCAAAGTTGTCCCTTTGGGAACTGGCAGGTGGAACACTTCTCATTAATCTGAATATGGGAACAGTTACGCAGGTTGATAAATACGTTAGTCATAGATATCTGGGAACAGGGAGGAATAAACTCAAGTTGCTGCAGATGTGATGCAAGACTGACTTGTAGCTGAACGTGTCAAGAGAGTGATTTTAAGTTGTTGCTGTTATGATACTGCAGTGCCTGCAGTTGTGCTGAGTAATTGACTGCTCTTGGGCACATGAACAAGATAACTGACCTGTGCTGAGCTTAAGGAGCGGGGTAGGTGGGGTGGGGTGTGGAAATGACCTAAAAAAACATTGGAGTGTTTGCTTTTTGTGAATTTCAGTAACTTGACTTAGTGGAGCATCCTTGACTTCCTGCACAAGACAGTGGTGGTATGGAGCAGGATTGACAGCCTGGATATAGGAACTTCTTAAAATCAGCTTTTGCATCAGATACAATATTTTTATAGCTGCACCTTTAGCTGATGAACTTGGAAAGCTTTTTTCCATAATGTTGCTGTTTTCAAGGGAAAGATAGCCCTCCACCAATGCAGTAGGTTAAGGCACTTCAAGTTAGGCTTTTGCTTTCAGCTGCACTGTGTGAGGTTGTCTCTATTTTGACAGACCAGCCTTCCAATTTAGGTGCTTCAAGTGCAGTAGTGTAAACGTCCTTTTTGCTCCAGTAATCTCTGGAGCAGTAGCTGAATGATATATTCAAAGTCCTGCATGCTTTTTTTTTTCTCAGGCAGGATAAATTAGGAAGACCTGCTGTTGTGTGAAAGAAACTGTAAGAGTGTCATTGCTTTGCCTTCTTGAGAAAACAAGAGCTTGTTTAGGCACAATAAGTTTGACTTCATTGCTTTGGCCATGTCCTCTGAACACCTATTGGTTTTGCAAGTTGTAGAATTTTTACAGATGAAATCTTCACTTAAGAAGCTGATCTTGCAGGAGATAAAAAGGTCCTGTGGCAGACATGCAGATCCCTACCAAGCTGCTGTTTGCAGTTCAGTGTGCAGCAGTATATATATGTGGATATATATAACTGGCAGCCGATGTCAGTGACTGGCTCTGAGGCACACGAGGCTGCCCAGATTGGTGACATCATGCTGACACTTGCTTTAATACTTGTTGGTTTAACTCTCTTAAGAGTAGACATCAGCTCTGTATCTGTGTCTGCCTCAGTCCTTGTCCTGTTGAGGATCCTAACATAATATTATGGGTTAGTTACTGTGCCTTTTGCTAGACGCTCCTACTTGTGGGGGGAAAAACCATGAAAGGTTGTGTAAATTTGCCCTCATTTTCTGTCAGAGAGGTAATTAGCAGGTCACCTGTGTTCCAAGAGAAAAATAAACACAAAGAGCAAACCGTAACACAGGGTATTATGAATGGTATTGCTAATTGTTTTAATCTGTCACAAAGTCCAATAATTTAATTTTAAAGATTAGTAAGATGCACCAAATCTAATAAATGGAAAATTTGTGCAAGAATGGAAATGGACTAGGTGACCAGTGGGATTTTAATTTTGACCTTTAATTTAAATTATCCTGATTTTTTACACGTCTTAAACGTTTCTGATCAGTTGTTTGCTTTGTGTTTTCCTTTTTTTTTTTCCAAAATGAGCCAAAGCAAATAGTAGTTTGATGTCAAACACTCTTTTCTTTTTTTTCTTTAAAAGAACCAAGATTCCTGAAAGCAGAAATGGAAATAACATATCATCAAATCCAATCCCTGCTGGCAACAGTGGAAGCTGTAGCTCAAGTGCAGTGACTCAAGATGGAAAGAAGCCTATCAAAAGTAAATGGAATTTACTAAGATCATAAAGCTGTCTGTTAATATATGCTGCTTAATATTATGCTAATATAATTTTAAGTTCCTTACAGCTGTAATCCTAACTGGTCTCTTTGTTTTGCTGTTATTGAAGAAATCGCACCGATCATGAAGAAAACTTTGAGAGCATTGAAGAGTAGAGCTGGACGACGATAAAATGAGGCTACATATTTGAAGTCTGAGTGACTATTTGTATATTATGCTACAGCTAATGCAAGTAATGTTAATGCAAACATTCTTCACTTTGTCTTAGTTAAAATAGGTATGAAACACTGCAGGGGCAAATGATTTGCAATAAAAATTGAAACATCTGCGTTCTTTCATCTGCTGCTTTCTTATTCATGAACAAGGAAAACTGAACTGAAATAAGGTCAGTACATGCTAATGACAAATAAGTTTATGTGGAGTTTTAGATGCTATTTTTATCAGTTTATGTACACATTGCATAAGCTTTTCATGGAAGCCGTTAAGCTGTGGGTGTATTTTGCCAGGTCTAAAGCTAGCTTATAGTGCACTTAATTGCAAAGAGGTCTTGTCATGTCTTGCACAAGAGGGTATCAGAAATTTTGTGTTTGTCTCACTAAAGCTTTCCTAAAGAGACTTTCATATTTTTCTTATGAAAACAACATTATTTGGCTGGATTTTAGTTTTTTCTCTTCCAGAAACAGAAGACTGATTATAAGACAGTCCTGGAGCTGACCTTCTGACCTGCTGGAATGAGGCTGTGAGGCATCCTCAGGGCACCACATGTTTTTCAGCCCTTTTTACTTAAGCAGTGACCTTTTAAAGGAGAGGTAGGAGAAGACAATGTTTAAATTTAAATTACCTTTTTTTTTTCTTTTAAAGCAGGATTTATATACTACTAGGGTAAATAGGGCAGGCAATGACAATGAGTTAATGAAAAAATGTTACTTATGGCCTCTGTCTAGTTGGGACATTTTTGATACAATAATTAAAACCAGACCTGTCATTGTGTGATATCATCTAAAGGCATTAGCTCTTGTATGTGAGATAGTATTTTAGGAACAAGCAGAACAAATTGAAACCAAGAATGTAATGAGTTTTATGCTATGGTCGTCTTTCAGAACTTGTGCAGAGCACTTAATCTAAGTTTGGAGATGCGGGAAAACTTGCGTTATACTCTGATCTGCTGCTCTCAGCCTGTCATGAAGAGGCCTAGCTCACAACCTTGAATGAGCCTTGTGTGTTCAAAGTGAAAAAGCTATTTGGTATTGAATAGCTCTCCTTTCAAGAGTTGTGCTGCTGCAGTTTGGGGCTGGTCTGTGAATGGGTTTGCTTTTAGAAATGAGATACTTCTTTGTAGTTGCTTCATCTAAACCAGTTCACTTGCACAAATTGTGAGTCTGACTTTGCCTTGAAGCCATGGCTTACAAATGGAGGAACTCTTTCTATAGACCACACTTAGACCTACTTGCAGGTACTTGTGTTGTAATTCTATAGGATTTGGCGTCCTAGAGTTCCTCCTGAAGCACAGGGTAAGATCATCATGGAAATGGTTGCTGTCTCTTACTCCAGACACCTTATGTGTGAATTTTCTCACCATCCTATAAATATTCAGGTAGACTATAAAAATCCTGCTACTAAAAATGGTTTTTACAGTCAGCTAAAGTAGTTGCCTATACATAACAGCTTGTGCAAATGCTCTATTTATAGATTCTAAGTCAGCAGGTGTGCTACTGTATTGTGTTTGTTTCGTGGGTTTTTCGTTGGGTTTTTTTTTTTCTACATGCATTATAGTTGCACTAAAAAGAATGAAAGAATTAAACAAGGGTGTTGACCTGGAAATTCTGCAGGGAGCTTTCTCCATCTCTGGGATCAAAACTAGCATTAACTAGTAGGAGAGGTAGTGCAGTGTCTGTCGTACACATGTGCCAACTGCTTCTGTGAGGAGCTATTCAAGGCTTAAACCTGGCTGAATGGCCAGAGTACCACACCGCCCTTTATCCATTAATCAGCTCTGGTCATCGTCTAATTGCTCATCAGTTTAATTCAGCTGGGGGTTTGTATGAAGTGTAGTATGAATGGTTCAAGAATTCTATTTGGGCTTTTTTTGATAGACTACTTTTATTTGTGCTAGCTGTTGATGGTACCCTCTTATGTAAGAAAAGACAAGGCTATAACGAAACCTTTTGATGGACTCTGGCATTAAGAGAACACAGCTGTAACCATTCAGATCTGCCATACATGACAGGAGTGTCTTCTTGGGAGATTAAAGAATAAATAGTTATTTTAACTAGTAGACATTTATTATTAATTGAAGTAGGAAAACTCTTTTCCTGTCTTTGACACTGATGGCAGAGCTGTGTGAAGGGTAAATTTGACTTCAAGATTATGACTTTTGCTTCCTCTTCTTGCTTTTTCTCACTTCAAAGGCTGTCAAAGTCTATGGTAGGAGGTATGTAGAGAGTACCTATGGGATCAGATTGTTTACCTGACAATTTCTACATTGGAAAAATACTGTAGACAAGCAAATCTTGTTTACAAGGAAGTAGTTGGTGCTACACACATTTTTGGCTAGGGTTCTTCTTTCACTTCAGATGTGATGTGGTGTGTTGCTGTGGACTGAATGCCCACCTGAGGCTACATTGGATAAGGGATGTTCTGGAAATGCATCTCCCAGCTCAGTTATGAGAAATCCTGGGTTTTGTGGTTTAACACTGCTTCATGACACAATTCAAAGCATATGTGGGAGTAAATTTGAAGCTTGCTTTAAAAGTGCACCCTTTTAGTCTGAATGAGAACACTTAATACAGATGCTTCTGCAGTCTCCTGCCTTCTATCCCTGCGTGCAGTTACTCTGGTAAAGAGGGGTTCTTGCTAGGTCTGTGTGTTCTTGGCATATGACATACCTAACAATACATGGTATTGGAGTATATTATCGTAGAATCAACTAGATTGGAAAAGACCTTTAAGATAAAGTCCAACCTTTACGCAAGGATTGTCAAGTCCAACATTAAACCTTGTCATGAAGGCCTCATCTGTGTTTTTTGAGCACTTCCAGGGATGGTGATTCCACAGCTTCCCTGGGAAGCCTGTTCCAATATTTGATCACCCTTTCTCAGGCAGTTGCAGAGAGCAATAACATATCCCTCCCCCCCCCACCTTCTCTTCTCCAGACTAAACAACTCCAGTTCCCTCAGCTGTTCCTCATCAGACTTGTGCTCCAGACCCTTCACCAGCTTTGTTTCCCTTTTCTGGACCTTCTCTAGCAATTCAATGCCCCTGTTGTAGGGAGGGGCCCAGAATTGAACCCAGGATTTGAGGTGTGACCTCACCAGCACTGAGTACATATTGACCTGAGGCAGTTTCCTTTCCTTCTGGTGGATATATGGAAAGGCTTTTGGTTGGTTTTGTTACATACTCCCCAGGCTGGTTGCCACATCCCTCTTCTTGAGAGCCTGTATCTTCCTCTTGTGTTTGACCAGTTCTGTGTTCTAGCTGACTGTCTGTGAACTCCCTTGGAGGATTTCTGAGCCTGACTTAGGGCAGCTTGGAGAAAACCTGTGATACTTCTCAAGTAAATGGGTATTTTCACACAAAAAGCCTTCTTTTCCTTAGAAACACATTCCAGCCCCTACTCCTCCTGCTGTATCTCTGAAACCTTTCATTCCAGCAGCACAATGCTTTTCCTTCTAGGTGATGAGCAAGTTTGATATTCATTTCCAGCAAATTGAATAAGTAATGGAAGAAAAATATGCTCACAAAAGGAAAACCTTGCTGTTGCGGAAAAGACCGCAAATGGAGAATATTTATCTTCTTGAACTGTCTATTTCATGCATAGAAACCACTTTCCACTTCCTGCCAGTGTTTGTTTCATAGCATTCAGAAACATTTTCCATCCTCTTAGTGATTGAGCCCAAGAAAGCTCAGCCTGACTGCTATTCCACTTAAAGATGTATGATCTTGCCATTTAAACAGTCCCTGTGGCTGGAGAAGAAAACACAGTTTTGAGGTGAAGTGTTTGTCCTTAGGATACTCTGCTCAGAAGGCATGTGAAGTTCCAGGAGCTAAGCCTTTCCTGGGGACCATGTGGGAGTTCAAATGCTAGGTTAATTCCTGGGCTAAAGCTAGAAAGGGGTTTTGGGTTTGGCATGATCCTTCTGGAAGTATTTGGAGACCTCAGTGAACTGCCCTATGCATGCTGTTGCCAGTTATTGCTGTTCCAAGCATCAATATTTAAGCTGCTGCCAAAGCAAGGCATAACTGGGGTCCCTGTCAGCAGGGAGGATGCTACAGCTCTGAGCCTGGTGCTATTGGCTGCCTGGTACCTGGGGATTTCTGAGGATTTCTAGTAGTCATAGGGTAATCCCAGCAGAGGGAAAAGAAATCCCTTCACACAGTGTGACTCCCAGACTTCCTATCTGTGGATGGCAAATGCTGACCTGTGTGTGCCAGGATTTAAAAAGTGTTAATGGGTTGATGAGTAAGAAGACATTCCTGGATGTACTGCTTTTTGGAGGGGAAAAATACCCCATACAAAATACCATCCAACAAAAACCAGAGCAACTGATAGGGGTTGCCCCATCCTTTTACTTGTATTATTTTCCTTCTCTGCCCTTCATGTAAAGACAGGAGAGGTCTTTGAGCGGGTGATTGAATGCTTTGGTCAGCCTACTGTCTGCCCTTGCAGCCATCCAGCCACAGAGCAGAGGTTTTCCTCCTCCCACAGACCTGCCAAAAGCAGTGCCCACAACAGAATTTATCAAGATCCTCTTCCTGCAGTTGTAACTAGTTACTGCCACCAGACAAACAAGTATAGTTCTCTCCAGATTTGTAATGTCTGCTTGTGGTGAGCTTAATCCTACCAGGAAAGGGAAGAAGGAGGAGTATCGTGAAGGAGTAGTTTGCTCTCTTGGTTCACCATCTTGGGAGAAATGGCTTTTCATGTTTCTTTACAGGCTGAACATACTGTGATTTTTATTTTTTCCCCCTTTTTTTAGCAATTTCCATGTGAACAATTCTTCCCTCCAGTTCCCAAAGCATTTCCCTTCTAATCTGCTGAATCAGTCTGGGATGGGTTGGAGGGAAGAAGGGTGATGTGTCCTCGTGACCTCATGATCAGTCAGATTTGATCCACTGTAGGGGCTGGGTTCGGCATTTTGCGGTGGGATCGTTTGCCTCTGTTTTCAATGTGTTTCTGTTTTGGGTACTGTTGTTTAGCACTGAAACTCTCCATGAAAGTAGTAAAATCACTCTGTGCAGTTGTGCTGCTTGGCATGGGGATGGAAATCCTGCTTAATGGAAGTGATGTGCATGAGATAATAAAGCTTTATTCTCCTCCTCCCCTCAGAATTTCTAGTAA